GCCGTGAACCCTCAATCCACCTGTGACCCCATCCAGCTGTGACCCCGCCCAATTCAGCTGTGACCCTCCAATCCAGCTGTGTTCCAATCCAGCTGTGACCCCCAAATCTAGCCGTGACACCCATCCAGCTGTATCCCCCCAATCCAGCTGTGACCCCATCCAGCTCTGTCCCCATCCAGCTGTGCCCCCCCCAATCCAGCTGTGACCCCCTCACCACCCACAGCCCTCACCGGCGCATTCAGGGCCGCTCCTCACCCAGATGTGGCACCCCCGCACCCATCTGTGCCACCCCTGGCCGTGTCACCCCCCCGGAGGTGGCACTGTCCCCGCCCGGGGCCCGCCAGGCTCAGCCACCGCCGCGTCCGTCGCCACCCGGGCCCGTCCCGACTGGTTCTTCCTCCCTCCCCTGGGCGAGTGGCGATGGCAGCGTGACTCAGTGGCCGCGGGGACACGGGGACAGCGCTCGCCATCGTCCCGAGCCCGTCCCGGTCCGGGTTTGGGGACACAGAACAGCCCGACCCCCGTTCCCAACCCGCGGCCGGCTCCGTTTGAGGCAAAAACGCCGCTGATTCACCCAAATCTGCGGTTTTCCCCTGGAAAAGCCGTGAAACCGCAGATTTGGGTGAATCCCACGGGGAAGAGCCCGGCAGCTTCCGGAGCGTCCAACCCAACCCCAAACCTTCCGCAGGTGCGGAGGGGGCGCCTCCCGTTTGAAAACCGAGGGGGAAACGGGAGATTTTGGGCAATCCCGGGAGATTTTGGGCAATCCCGGGAGATTTTGGGCAATCCCGGGAGATTTTGGGCAATCCCGGGAGAGCGCGGGCAGCTCCCGACGGTCAGTCCGGGCCAGCCGGACACAGCCGCACTCTTCCCGGAGCTTTCAAAAGGGGATCGGCCAAACCCCAAAATCATCCCCGGAGCTCCGGGGCCKCTCGGGGTCACCCCCTCCCCTCCGGGGGTCCCGCGTCCCCCCGCACCTTTCGCTTCTTGCGGCAGTTGCACTGGCCCATGGCGCTGCTCGCTGCTCCTCGGGGGTCTCTGCTCTGCTGCGGAGGAAAAAGCCAAGCTCAGCTCTCGATTTTCAGCTCTCGGTTCTCAGGAAAGATTCCTCTCCTCCCGCTCCAGCCCCCGGAGCTGCCGGGACAAGTCGCCCGCGTCCTGGCGGAGCCGGGAATGAGGGCGGAGGAGCCGCGGGCGAGGATCCCCGAGCCGTGGAAGCCACCGGGGCCACTTACCTGGAGCTGGGGCTGTGCCGGGAGTGCGCGGGCTGCGGCGGGCCGGGGTTTTATACCGGGGAGGTGTGAGTGGGAGCTCCGCGGTGCGAGGCGTCTCATTTGGGAGCCTGGCCCGGTGCCAGCGTGGGGCCGGGAAACGCCTCCTTCCCGGGCGCACCGGMGGTTCGGATCCAACCGGGCCCGGCGGATCGGTGGGAACGGGCACCGGGTCACGGTGTTCTCCGTGCCCGGTGGGAACGGGGATAATCCCGAGCGGGATTTGCCCGGGGAGGGGTCACCCGGTGCCACCCGAGACCCCCGGGAGGGCGGGCATCCATGGCCACCAAGGCCACCGCGGTGTCGCCACCGGGGATGTCCCGGACCCCACCCCGGCCACAGCCACCCACCCATCCCCCAGCGCGGCAGGAAGGTGTTTGTGGGGCACCCCAAAAGCCAAACGGGCAATTTGGGAACGRCTCCATCCCTCTCCATCACCCCAAATCGCCATCCCGGCTCTTCAGCGCGGCCTCCCCGGGAGAGGAGACCCCAAATCAGGACACCCCAAATCAGGAGCCCCCCAAGAACAGCAGCCACGCTCCGGCTCGGGGAAATCTCTTTTATTCGCCCCGTTTGGGCCGGGTGCCGTCACTTTTGGGCCGCCTTGTCCCTGCGCATGGCCCGGGCCAGCTCCCCGATCAGCCGCCAGTACTCCCCAAAACGCAGCTCCTCGTCGTTGTTCACGTCCARCTCGCTCATCTTCTCCTCCAGAGAGGGCACGTCCTGCGGGGAGAGCACCGGGGTGGGGATGGGGGAGGCGGGGGGGGACCCCTGACCAAATTCCCGAGGGTCGGATGGGGATGGGGGAAGAGGGGGCGACCCCTGAGCGCGGGTCCCGGGAGTGGGATTGGGATTGGGGATGGTTCCCGAGGGTCGGATGGGGATGGGGGCAGCGGGAGGGACTCCTGAACGCGGCTCCCGGGGGTCGGTTTGGAATTGGGGGTGGCGGGAGAGACCCCTGACCAAATTCCCGAGGGTCGGATTGGGATTGGGGATGGTTCCCGGGGGTCGGAAGGGGATGGGGGAGGCGGGGGCGACCCCTGACCAAATTCCCGAGGGTCGGATGGTGATGGGGGCAGCGGGAGGGACCCCTGAGAGCGGCTCCCGGGGGTCGGATGGGGACTGGAGATGGTTCCCGAGGGTCAGATGAGGATGGGGGCGGTGGGGGCGACCCCTGAGTGCGGATCCCGAGGGTCGGATGGGGACTGGGGATGGTTCCCGGGGGTCGGATGGGGATGGGGACAGCAGAACCGACCCCTGACCAAACTCCCGGGCGTCGGATGGAGATTGGAGATGGTTCCTGGGGGTCGGAAGGGGACGGGGACAGTGGGAGCGACCCCTGAGCGCGGATCCCGAGGGTCGGAAGGGGATGGGGGTGACCCCTGACCAAACTCCCGGGGGCGGAATGGGGATTGGGGCGGCGGGAACGAGCCCTGACCAAATTCCCGAGCGTCGGATTGGGATTGGGGATGGTTCCCGAGGGTCGGATGGGGGCAGCGGGAAGCGGGAGAGACCCCTGACCAAAATCCCGGGAGTGGGATCGGGATGAGGGCGGCGGGAGAGACCCCTGACCAAATTCCCGAGGGTCGAATGGGGACTGGGGATGGATCTCGAGGGTCGGATGGGGATGGGGGCAGCAGGGACAGGCCCTGACCAAAATCCCGAGGGTGGGATTGGGATTGGGGATGGTTCCCAGGGGTCGGAAGGAGATGGGGACAGCGGGAACGACCCCTGACCAAATTCCCGGGGGTCGGAAGGGGATGGGGACAGCGGAACGGACCCCTGAGAGCGGCTCCTGGGGGTCGGATTGGGATTGGGGATGGTTCCCAGGGGTCGGATTGGGATTGGGGATGGTTCCCGAGGGTCGGATTGGGATTGGGGATGGTTCCCGAGGGTCGGAAGTGGATGGAGCAGCCCCTGACCGCCGCTCCCTCCTGACCAAACTCCCGAGGTGTCCCCAGCGTCCCCCCGCGCTCAGGGTGACACGGGGACACCCCCTCGGTGCCACCCTCGCCCTCACCTTCATCAAATTTGGCAGCTGCAGCCTCACCAGCTCCTTGAACTCTCCGGCCGTCAGCGTCCCCTTCCTGCCCTCCTTGGCCGCGAAGGTGACAAACACGGTGACAATGCTCTCGAT